GAAGGGGACTCTCAGGTGGTAACAAGGTGGCTCCTAAACTTGGATACCACCATTTGGGGCTACAAAGATCTCATAAAAAAAGTAAAGTGGTTAACCAACAATATGAGAGTTGAGGTAAAATGGGTTAGTAGGTCTGCTAATTCTTTGGCTGATGCTTTAGCCAAATGGGGGGTTTCTAGGGAAGATCTTTTTTGTGCTTCTTTGTAAGTTGTTATTAATTTGAAAATCTGTACTTAACTAGCCCGGAGAGGTTGCAACTCGTGCCTTTCCTTGTGGACTTTGTACTATTGTCTATTGCTGATTAATAAAATTATTTCAATTATAAAAAAAAAATGTTAAAAGAATAGGAGATAGGATAATTTTAAGGGTAAATTACAAAAACCCCCATACTATGGGATCTGTGACAATTGCCCCCTGAACTTTCATTTGCAACAAAGACCCCCCTGAACTTTCACTTTGCAACAAATACCCCCTCCGTTAGAGTTCGATCAGTTAACTTCCAAAAAGATTCTCATTCTGCTGTTTAATTTTTTTTAAGTCCCAAATTACCCTTTTCTTATTTATTTGAATGGTTTATGATTCAATTATTTTTCTAAATATAATACTGAAGTCTTCTTGGTTGCTTTAATAGATCCTTGCTGTGTTCTGGCTGGATTCAATATTCAAATGAAATGGTAGAAGTTTCTTTATGATAGATATAAATTTAAAGTTTCATTTGGTTTTTCTTAATTTATTAAAGAAAGGAGTGAATAATTTTTATATTTTAAGATGAAGAGAGACATTCATGTCAGTGAAATGAAACAAGAATTTAAAGAACTTTGTTTTTCTAATGAATTCTGCCATTTGACTTAATGGCTAGGGGGTATTTGTTGCAAAGTGAAAGTTCAGGAGGGTCTTTGTTGCAAATGAAAGTTCAGGAGGGTAGTTGTCATTGACCCCATAGTATAGGGTGGTCTTTGTCGCAAATGAAAGTTCAAGGGGGTAATTGCCACTGACCCCATAGTATAGGGTGGTCTTTGTCGCAAATGAAAGTTCGAGGGGGTAATTGCCACTGGCTCCATAGTATAGGGGTCTTTGTAATTTACCCTAATTTTAATTAGACTTGTTCTAGGTGAAGAAATCATTAACATAATTAGTGCTTATGCACCTCAAGTTGATTTAGAAGAAAACTTTGAAAGAAAATTTTGGAAAAACTTAGAAAGATTAATCCAAGAAATTCTAAATGAAAAAGGAGATTTTTATAAGAGGCTTAAATGGGAGTGTGGGAAAAAATGCAGGATATGATATGATGCATGAAAGATTTGGGTTTGGGGAGAGGAATGAAATAGGAGATACAATCTTAGAATTTGCAATAGCTTAGGATATGTCAATTCTAAACACATGTTTCAAAATGAAGGATGAATTTAATATTTAAAAGTGGCTCGAATATAAGTCAAATAGATTTGTTTCCTTACTAGGACAACAAAATGAATGATTTGTAGGATTGTGAAGTCATTCCAGGCGAAAGCTTAACTGTACAACATAGATTAGTGATAGTATAGGAAGCGATTTAAACTATGTTAGGTGCACTAAAAGAGGAAGATCAAAGAGTCTTGGTAAAAGATGAGGGAATCAAGGAAATATGGAAAAACTATTTTGAAAAATTATTAAATTAACAACATGGATATACCATATGAGTGAGGATATCTAGATGTCTATACATTTATACCTTATCTTCAATGTAACATGTATAGGTGTCTCAATTATAGATTGTTGTAATATAACACATCTATTATTTTCTTTACTGTTTACCAAAACGTAGGCCTGTGACATGGATACATTATATGAGTGAGGATGTCCTGGTGAATAATATCATACTTGGGGCTTATTACCAGTTAGAAGCTCAAAGACCCTATTCCATTCAACCAACTTCTAAAGGATTGTTGCATTCCTTGGACTTTCCTACTCGATAGTCTCCAAATGATCAATCTCCTACCGCAATGACTTCTATGTAGAAAAGTAAATTTTCAAAGCCTTCTCCCTCTGTTTTAAATTATTAATTTCACTACAGAGTTGATAGTCTCTAGCAACATCTAAAGCTTGGGACAAGTCTTTAACACACAGGAGGTGGTGGTGAGATGGTTAAGGGAAGAGAACACTGGTATGCAGAACTACAGCAATGAAAGGAAAAAAAATTAAATGGCTGGCTAAGGACATTGAGATAAAATACAGTTGGGTGAAGAGATCTGCTAACTCATTTGCTGATGGGTTAGCCAAGTAAGGGGTGAATAGGGATTTTTTGTTTCCGGCTCATTTCTAATTCTGTTTTCTTTTGTTATTTGCTTGTGGGGGGATATCAACTACGCTTTCACCATATAGTGTTTTGCACCCATTTTGCACGGTGACAATTTGAGGCATTTCGCTCAGTGGCCAACCTTGTCACGTATCCTAATTTATCACAACCAGCAATGGCTATATGTTAGATTGAGCCCATTCCAATTTCCAAATAAATGGCCCCATCTTGCTTTATAGTGGTTATCTGCACATTTAAGGTATCCCCAACACCACTTGTAGTAAACCTTGTCTCAAGACCCATTTTAACATCACTCCTAGAAGTGCCCTGAAATCAATACGATACTTTTAAATATCAAGTCAAGAGTAGAGGTGATTCAGCAAAAAAGGGCACAAACAGGGGTAGAATTCACTCCTGGCACTGTAGGAGAAAAGGGAGAAATAGGGGCTACTAACACCAGGACCATAGAACCTTCCAGCATCAAAATCACTTATAAAGCCCCAATAAGTCTACCAACACTTAACTGCTACCTTCAAACCTACTAAAGAACGCCAACTTAAATTGAAATCTCTGGCTTGCTTGACTTATTGGATGAATATTAAAGACTCCTCTTGGGCAGGAATAGACAGATTTTCAGCATCGAAATCACGTATCTTATAAAGCCCCAATAAATCTTCTGACACTTAAGCATGACCTTCAAACCTGCTAAAGAATGCTAACTTAAATTGAAATCTGTCTTTCTTGACTTTTTGGATGAATATTGAAGACTCTCTTCTTGGGCAGGAATAGACACAAATTTTCACGAAGCGCCCTAAAAAAATCTAGGAAACTCAAGGAATATGATCTACATTATAAAATCTCCATGCAATTTGTTGATCCTACAACTGCATGGTTTTCAACCTTGGAGTTGACTGCTCTGGTACCAACTTGTTATTCTTGGATTAATTCAGTTTATTAATCTGAAAATGTTTGTGTGTGAAACTGTGAATGTGGAGAAGAATAGGGAAACATGAGAGAAGGAAGAAAGAAAATTTGGAGAGAGTAGTGGGCTACAGCCCCTTCTCCACTATATATTCAACATACACATGAGAAAATGACAAATCTGCCCCTGATCGTTCACATCAAACAAATAAGAATAAAAACAGAACTTTTAAAATCAAGTAATATTTTGATATTACTAAAGAATTTGCACATTTATGCTCTTGGAGTCCTTACTCAGTTTTGTTCACTACAAGATGTTTAAGATCCAATTTTTTGAGGTACTGACTCTAAATAAATTTATACACTCAGGTAAAATCCAGAATGTTTGTCCAGTTACCACTGATATAATGGCTTGTTTCTTTGGGCGCTTTCCTTAACATATATCTGAATGCATTGATGAAATTCCTGTTAATCTGTTTCTCCAGTGGTGAAAGTGGAGCTGGGAAAACTGAAACAGCAAAGATAGCAATGCAATATTTAGCTGCACTTGGAGGGGGTAGTGGTATAGAATATGAAATATTGAAGACTAATCCCATATTGGAAGCCTTTGGTAATGCAAAAACATCAAGAAATGACAACTCAAGTCGTTTTGTAAGCTATCTATTCTTTTCCGCGGACTCAAAAGTGTGCCTTGTATTGAGTCTGTTGACTATTTTGCTCAAGATTAAATGTAGTAATTTCTCTTTGAAATTGTAGTCTATAAATGCTACTTTTTTTTGACTCAATGGTGCAGGGTAAGCTGATTGAAATTCACTTCAGTGAAACTGGGAAAATTTCTGGTGCCAAAATTCAAACTTGTAAGAAACCTTCTTTCTACCTTGAGTTGATGTTACTTTTCCTGCGTACCAAAGTTGATACTAACTTTAACGTTCTCTTTGTTTTTCTCCTGCCAACTTGGTTCTTAATGAAATTAAGTTTTACTTGAAAAGGTATTTCCTTTTGAACATTGTTCTAGCACTTCTCTGTCGCCTGGGATTACTGTACCATCATTAATTGAATTTCCTGTCTTATGATCAGTCAAGAGTGGTGCAGTGTGCAGAGGGAGAAAGATCATATCATATATTTTATCAGCTCTGTGCTGGAGCTCCTCCAGCACTTAGAGGTATCATATGCGTTCTATATTGTTCTATGACTTTAACATTGCAATCATTTTCTTTCACTGCCTAAAATTGGGATATATTGATGGTTGCAATGTAGGTCAACTCTCTTTGCCCTCCTAGATAATGGTGTTCCACTATTCTATATGATTTATTGGCTTGTTGGATGTTCTAGAACTAGAACTAAGTTTTGAAACCCTTGTGAGTAAATTTTATGTCTTACTTGCTGATTGCATTGACTATCTTTGCCTATTGCTTTTTTTGCTCTTTGTCATAGAGAAACTACATCTGAAGAATGCAAATGAGTATAAATATTTGAGACAGAGCAATTGCTTTTCTATTGCTGGGATTGATGACGCTGAACGTTTTCGCATTGTTATGGTATTTCAACTTATGCCTGCATTACTAGAGATTAAAATTCCTAAATCAGCAGTTCTAGTTTAGTCCTTGTGTTCCATTATCTTTCTAACTTCAGTGTTTTTGCAGGAAGCTCTTAATGTTGTTCACATTAGCAAAGAGGATCAAGATAGTGTATTTGCAATGCTTGCTGCTGTTTTGTGGTTGGGTAATATCTCTTTTACTGTAATCGACAATGAAAACCACGTTGAAGCTGTTGTAGATGAAGGTAAAAATCTTCTTGAACTATGAGCAAGTTCCAATTCCAGAAGTTATTTTTTATTTTGCTAGGCAAACGTGTTGGGTTTGGGAGGGGGAGGGTGAAGGCGTTCTAGTAAGGGACTGAAATTGCGTATTGAGGGAAAACTGGCTTGGAGAATGTTGTAAGGTGGGGTTGCGGTAGAAAAAAGAAATACATTAAGGTTGTTGCAGACCATCTAAGAAACCTGAGTACGCATTGATAAGAACATTTAGGTCTCTTTTATTACAAGGTGCACTAATGCTAGGAATAATTTCTCCCAGATTTTCTTAATGAATATTTTATGGCACCATCTGCCTTTATAATGTATTGCATTCAAGTGCTTAATTTTACCAAGATAATCGACAGCTTGTTATACCCTTTCCTTCCTCAAAAAGACCATAGAGTATATTGGGTTGCTTTGGAATCTTGTTGGTCCCAGGAAATCTTTGTTTAGATTGTTGCATTTCTGTATAGTCTTGAGATAGCTTCTTCCTTTTCTCCCACTTGGACTTTCTTATTCCTGTCATTGTTGACTTGTAAGAGTTAACAATATCTTAGTTTCTAGACATGCATCATATGGACATCTTTAACTCTTTTGTGCATATCGGCTTATTCCAAATATCACAATTCAACATGTGAGTATGTGACTGACATGTGATATAATAAAGTGTCTGGCATACTCAAAAAATTGAGGGTGCTAATTATGAAGGCATCACATTTTTTTTTTCGATCAGTGGCACACTACATGTTGACTACTTAGTGAATACAGCAACTAAGATCATCTGATCATGTTCATGTTTCCAATATATCATTTCTGACATGTTAGTTCCATGATATTTACTTGCTTATTAACATTTTTTTTTGACGTGGCATTTTATTTTCAGGTCTAAATATTGTTGCCAAATTGATTGGATGCAATGTGGGGGAATTAAAGCTGGCTTTGTCAACTCGCAAAATGAGAGTTGGCAATGATAATATTGTCCAAAAGCTTACATTATCTCAGGTAACAGAAATTCTATGGAGATTTATTTGACCTGTTTTCCACACAATAAACAGTCTAGCTATGGTGGAACTAAATATGAACTGGGCAAGGGATTGGACCTTCTATTCAGTTAATCACTTCATAGGAAACCATTTGTTATAACTCAAGTAGCTTCTTGTGTTCTGTTAATCCATACTAGAGAACTCTTTCTCCTGGATGCTTATCATATTTAATTTGGTAATAAAATAAAGTTTATTAAAATAAAAAGGAAGAAATACAAGGAAGGTGTCCAGAGATCACCCAAGAGAAAACAAAAAACACAAACTTCAATTTTTTGGTTTGAAACTTGGAGTAGACTGTCACCTTTATGCATATGCATCATATCTTCTGATAGACAGACTGTGCTTGTACTTTTTCACTGTATGGCAATCATAATTTTTTTCTAACCAGTTCTTGTGCTTTAGGCAATTGACACCAGAGATGCATTGGCTAAATCACTCTATGCTTGTCTTTTTGACTGGGTGGTTGAACAAATAAACAAATCCCTGGAAGTAGGCAAGCGACGTACAGGAAGATCCATCAGCATTCTTGATATCTATGGCTTTGAATCTTTTGATGTATGTTCATACTTATCTTTCTTTCATTTTGAACATGTACTTGTTCAAATTAACTTTTCCGTTTTCCCCTTTTCTTTGCAGAGAAATAGTTTTGAGCAGTTCTGCATAAATTATGCAAATGAGAGATTGCAGCAGCACTTCAATCGCCATTTATTCAAGTTGGAGCAGGAGGTAGGAAGTATGACTCTTTGTTTTGTGTTAAATGGATATAGAATCTAGTTATCGAAATTTGTTTTTCTGTATATATAGATTTACTTCAAAGGATTTCTAAAAGAAACTAGTTTCTGACTTTTATTGATGTCACAATGCTCTTACACCACAAGATGCTTTCTCATTCAAGAAATTATGACTTCAGTGCTGGAACATATAAAATCAGCATCTGTAAAACCTACATAAATTTGCTTTCAGGAATACATCCAAGATGGAATTGACTGGACAAAAGTTGATTTTGAAGACAATCAAGATTGTTTAAATCTTTTTGAGAAGGTGAGTTGCTCATTACTATTTCCTTGTACTATTAAATGATTATTTTATTTATTGATATGTAACTGTGATGGGAGGAAATTTCTTAAAATATGCTATTAGTTAGACCGACAAATATTATCTCATTTATCATTAATGGCATGAAGGAATGTTATATTCTGTTGTTATCATGGAAGATGGAACACCTTAGCAAGAAAAGCGTGCCATTTTTTGCTTCAAGTGTGCAAGAGAGAAGGCAATATCATTGCATACTATCTACTTTTTGGCTGTTAACACACATATGGCAGCAATGGTGTAGGTAACTGAATTCATTTATTAGGAGTTGTGTTGCTGGAGATGCATAATATTGTCAGATTTTCTATGCTTCCCATGAATATTAGAGAAAATTGATTTAGCACAACAAAATGGTGAGGCCCTATGTGGTATTTTGTTAGTTTATTTAGTTCTCTACCTGTTGAAAGTTTCCAATTTGTCCATGGAGATGGAGTGCTGCCAAAGTGTGTTGGTGCATGAAGATCCAAGCTGATCTTTGAGTCTAACATTTCTGTGCACAAGAGATAAAAGGAAAAAAAAAGGTTAGTTTGAAGCTTGGGAAAGAAGGGTGAACTGTATTGATGGAAGGGCAATTGCCTGGTTGAAATGTTTCTTAGACGGATCATGATATGTGGCTAAAAGGTGTAAAAGGAGGTACAAGTTGAGAACTGACAGGAGGCACTTCATGGTGGAACTGAAAGAAGACAAAGAAGGAAGGTTCATTGAGATTTCAGAATATTTTGAAGCACGGAAAGTACAGAAAATATGCATACCAGATGGAAGATCCTCTGTGGGATGGAAACTAATGACACAACTCCTATAGTAGTTCATTGTGGAAAAAAAAACTTTGGGGAATGGAAGGAAGTTTTGAACTTAAACAGCAAAAGTGATGAGGAAGAGACTAGAAGTTTGGAAGGAAAACTAAGTCACTGACAAGTGGAGTAAATCAGTGGAAACACAGCACCTCCATCAATTTGAACAATACGTTTGTTATGCCTACCAATGTCTGACCTCGCAGCTGGGATGAAGTGCTACCTGTGATAGTCTATAATATGAAATAATTTTCTGGTGCTACTAGCAAATCCTTCCTATCCACCAAAGCACTACTCTCCCTGGTCACAGTGATTGACAAAGTTGCTGAGATTGCAATACCATCTTCATGGGAAGTAGAATATTAACCATATCAAAGCAGAAGCTAATATAACTGGCAGATGGAGGTGGAGGATATAGGGATCTGTGGCCTCCCCTTTAATCCGTGAAAACCAAAGGTATTCGAGGAGATAGGTGACTACTGTGGTGGTTTATGCAGTGCATGACCGAACTTGGTGGGTGCTAAATTTCTAGCATCCAAGTGGCTGGGGGAGCAATAGGTGTGATTCCAAGAGTGTTAGACATTCATTTCAATGGAATGATTGGCAAAGTGTGGATCACTTCCTCAGCTGAAGCAAGGCTGCAACACAAGGAGCTCCAGGGGAGGGACAATAAGCTGGTGGGTAGGACATGTTTCATCATGGAAATGGATAATCAGTAGCTGAGTGGAAGTGAGCTACAAAGGCTACATTGAAGGGCTATGATCTACCTGAAGACATGTTTCATCATGGAAATAGATAATCAGTAGCTGAGTGGAAGTGAGCTACAAAGGCTACATTGAAGGGCTATGATCTACTGAAGCTGATGTCTTGTTTTTTGGATAAGTGGTGAGGGAATCTGGACTGATGAACTGTGAAAATCAAAATCAGGTTTCTTCAGGCAGATTTAGCTCAAACGTTTGTTCCACCTTCTACATTAGGTTATGTCCATGGGGGTGTTGGGGGAACGTATTTTGACGTTTCCCCCAACAGGCTGGCACTTCCACTTTGGTTGTCTTATGTGGTGCCTAGTGGCATTTATGTTTTTAAACTACAATAAACAATTGCACATTGTTCTATGTGCCAAAACACCTCACTTTCCTGATTTACAATGCTACAATTCAGGTACAAGTTACCAAACATCTGCATACTGACACAAAGGGGACGTGAAAATGGTAGTATGGTATGAGCCAGATTTGAGGACTATAATGATATTCGATTCAATGAGGATTTGCTAGTAATGAAGAAATAGGATGGAAGGAGAAATAAAAAATGAATGAGAACAACACAACCAAGACTGGACAAACAATAAACCTGCAACAGAAGTGGATCCTGTCTTGGGATAGAATAGAAATTAAAGTTTTTGCCACAGCTTCTTTAAGATTTTGTCAGCCTGAGATTTGGGCATTATCAAGAACTGTATGGTTCCTCTCTATTTATATTATCCCAAAAGATAGCTGCTGGGATCAAATGCCAAGCTAGCTTTCCCTTCTTTCTGAGTTCATTGATGTGCTCATGTGTCAACTATCAAGTGTCTCCAACATGGATTTAGGAAACACCTAGCATATGGTAAGGGATTGGATGAAGTATGCCCGCATTATAGCACTGAATGGGCAATAAATAAAGAGGTGATTTGTTGTTTCAAGGTTCTCATTGCAGAAAATGAAGCCTGAAGTTAAATGGGAAGTTTTCAGCTCATAAGTTTGCATTACACTGGTTAGTTTAAAGAAGATAATAGAGAAGGTTAGATCTTGAAGGCATGGTAGTAATGGATTGCAGGTGGAATCTGGAAAGCAGACAGGGTTGAGGTGGAAGCCACCATTTGAATGACGGAAGGAAAAGTGATCTTCCCCAAGTGACGATATCTTCTTGGAATTGGAGGAATCAGATGTATAGGTATGAAAGAAGTTTCTTTGTAGATTCCTTTTGGCGAGATTTAGGAGTTTTATAGGAGATTACATGGGACTGGAGGAATGGGCAAATGACGTATGGAGAATCACGAGGGAGTGAGGATTAAAAAACTGATCCAATACTTATTTCTTTTCATTGTTCCATTGAAATTGGAGGCGGGGAAGATCTTGAATTGCAGTCCATGTTTATCATCATCCTTGATTGAGGAAGAGGGATAAAACCTTTGTAATTGGTTCCTAGATAAAGAGTCAATATAGGAGTCTAAAAACTACTGATAAAAATAGAGACGTCTCAAAAATAGTTTTTGTAGTAGCTCAATATCTTGTTAAAAATTATCCCCATCTTTTAAGCCTTGTCCCAACCATGTGTGGTCGGCTACATGAAGCTTGTTTCACCATCCTGTTCTGTTTGGTGCCATATTTATGGGCACTTGTATCTTGTTAAAAATAAGTTCAGGAATTTATTGTTTTGATTGGTAAGTTGAGGAAATTGCTTGAGTAGGGTGTGGGGATGTCAACTTTATTTAGATATTGGTTTGTATAGTTCATTATTTCAAAATGCAGAAGACTATAAGTCTAATAGGGAGCACTTATAAAATTTTGGCTAAGGTTTTGGCAAGAAGACTAAGAGAAGTCCTAGAAGACCTAATCTCGCTAAATCAATTTGCTTTTGTAAAAAGGAGACAATCATTTTTGCCTAGCTAGATCTCTAACACGCCCAGTAGTTTACAAGTGGAGACAGAGTCCAACCTCAAATTCAATGGGAGATCTATAGGCAACCTTTAGGAGGAAGGAATGATGAGAGTGTTTACTGGGTCTTTAGTGGACCCATAGGGGTAGGGCTGCAAATGAATTGGATCGAATTTGGATAGGCCCTGATTCGGTCTTGCATGATCCAATTTTATTCAATTGCATTTATATATGAAAGTATATAATAATTTATGTATTTATTTATTTACCCTTGGTGAAACTTAAATGGCAGAAGCTCTTTGGAAGAATTTTTGTTGTATATGGGGGTATATGCCTTATAGTTAACCTAAAACACAAAGAAACAAGAAAACATTAATGACCCATTGTCTTGTCATTTCAATGACTGTTTGAACGAAGAGGCAAAAACTAAAACCCTATTGACCTAATCTTTTTGCATATCAGCTAAGAGGGTGTAGTCCATTGCCCATTAAAGCAGGCTTTCAATGGCTTGAAGGGGCTTTCATCATTTGCACAAAGTTGATTGTTGAGGACAAAATATTTTTACTATTTGTTAAGGGTCAATCGTCATCATCACTGATTTTAATGAGTGAGAAGGCTTGAGTGGCTGTTAACTTTGATCTTTTGTATCACCTATTCACCTGTGTCTTGTCTTCAATCTCCTCAATTGATCATTCATCGCACAGTCTGGTCATGGAATAGGTATTTCAATGCAGAAGGCACTACTGTGGAAATAAACAAGGACAGGGAATTTCTAAATTTGATGCTATTGGACAACAGTGTTTATGTTTGAGAACAAAACCTTTATAGAATTTACAAATGCATTGGTTTTTGTCAAGACAATGAAACGATGGTATGTAGATCGAGAAATGGTGGAACAACGACAACTTTGGGTTGGGCTATTGGCTTTGGGGTTCTTTGTTTCTTTATTTTTGATGTGTAGACTAAGTGGCCAATGATCTACTTTTACATTTGCAATTACCTTTTGATCTTTGGACAACAATGCAAGTGCTCATGTTCTTTCTAGTTTGTTCTACTGTTCAAGTAACACCATAATTACCCAATCGCCACAACCGAATTGAATCGAATTTGAATCTGATATCTGTTAATATGATCAAATCGAATTTGAATAGGGAATGCTAAATATTTGTTGGATTCAAATTGAATTTGGATTATTGGATGTGGGTTTTTTCTTATCAAATCTAATTGGTTATACCCTTATCTGAATTTGATTTGATCCATTTGCAGCCCTACATAGGGGTGTAGCAGACTCAACAAAGGATAAGGTCTTTGCAGTGCTAATGGGGAATAGAATTGCTAGACAATTAGGTTTGTCCTCCCTCACCATCAAAGGAGTACTAGGCGAATATCATCAACTGGTTAGGGAAGCAGGTGAACAGGTCATGGAGGGTGACCCATTACTTATCGAAAGCCAAGGACATGGAGTCTCTTTTGCATACTATAGTTAGGTGGATCCCCAGGGAGTTGAACCATGTTGGCTGATGGTTTAGCCAAGTCAGGGGTCCAAAGGAGTACTTGTACAGTGACAGTATATTGCCAATATAATTTTTTTGTGGGGTCTTTTTTGTGTCATCCCCTCATGTACATAAGTGACTTTGCATTGTATCTAATTTGTTTTTTCCTTTTTAATTATCTTTTGTTATGGCTTCCAATATGATCTTAATAAAAACATAGTATAAAGTTTTCCTCCAATAAAACCACAAAAAAAAACATTAAACTTATTTATTTTGAAGTGAAATGAAAATAATAAACTTATGCTTTCACTTTGTGGCATGCTAATCCATCTGAAGCTTTTCTATTAAATTCTTAGTTTTTTTCCCTGTTAAATGATTAGTTAATTTCATTATTTATGATTCATTGCATTTAACATTCATTCCCTGAATTTTCATGCAGAAACCATTGGGATTATTGTCTCTGTTGGACGAGGAGTCAACTTTTCCAAATGGAACTGACTTGACATTTGCCAACAAACTTAAGCAGCATCTGAATTCTAATTCTTGTTTCAGAGGAGAACGAGGCAGAGCTTTCAGTGTCCTTCATTATGCAGGGGAGGTTGTCATCTGATCCATAATAGACTCTTTCATTATGGGGAAACCTAAGTTTTACGTTAGGTGGACAATAAGACATATATAGAAGGCATAAGGCAATGTCATATTGCATGGGTTAGGATAAATATTCCACCTAAGGGAATATCAATCGAATGGATTGTGTTGGATTGGATCAATGAACGTCATGCTGGGTATGGTTGTGAAGTAATCAATTGGGCAATGACAGGTCAAACCTAGAACTGGTAAATAAACCAGCCGACAAAAAAATAGGTGAATCAGCCAGATTGTACTGTACCAAGTAAGATCACCATATAGGTTAAATAATGCTTAACAAAGGAATGAACCTTTTATTAATCCTTTGATTGATTTCCAGTATGCCAAACAAGAGGAAAAAATATGCCATGCTTTAGGAACTCAGTATTGCCTCCCTAGTGCCACCATCTGATAGATTCTTCTTGGATTTAGGAACTACCTTCAGTGGATGGCCACCTTATATTAAATTCAATCTGATGAAGGATAAGTTTAGAGAATTCAATAGTATGCTATTACTGGAAAATTTGGGCTTCAAGCAACTGACAATCTAGAATTCTGTAGGTAAAATTTTGGAACCAATGGTGACTATGTCTTAACCATTTAAAGTATCATTAATAATATTACTTGTGCTTTTTGTGCTGTATGTTAAGACTAATCCTTCTATAGTTTGAGAGAGAAAGGGACACTTGAACACTTTTTTTGATGTAAACATATATTTTTCAATACAAAATTATGTGAATTGGATTACTTTCTTGGTTTTATCTTGTTGTGTTTGCTTCTTTAAAGTTTGGCATTTGATATGGGTTTGTCAGGACTATATTCACACAGCCGCATCTTGCTTCCATGCGTGACTGCCAAGCATGCTGAAATCTTGGTGGTAGAACTTGGAAGGTTTAGACTGAAAAAATATGAATAAAAGGGAAGAACACAGAAAAGATAAAAGGCAGAAAAGAAGAAAAAAGTGGGTTGGCTAAAGAACAGAATGGAAGGATAATGGAAATACAGATTTTTCATGAGGGAGGTATGCAATTAGCTTATGGGAAGGTGGCCAGATGTCAGTGGATTCATGGATTTTAGTTGTACTCTGGATTTCTGATTCGTATAAAACAGAGTATGTGATAAAGGGGTGTCAACAGAATACCCTAAAGGGATACTTAATACATTGTACATCTCATTTTTTCACTATATGTTAATAAACTCTTACTGTTATCCATCAAACAAGAAAAAGAAAAGAGACAGTATGTGACTTTCTGATTTGTATAAACAGAGTATGTGAGAAATGGGTGTTGACAGTAGAATACCCTAAAGGGATACTGAATACATTGTACATCTCATTTTTTTTTCACTATATGTTAATAAACTCTTACAGTTTTCCATCAAAGAAAAAGCAAAAAAAGAAAAGAGACAGTTTGCGACTTTCTTATTTGTTTAAACAGAGTATGTGAGAAAGGGGTGTTGACAGTTAGAATACTCTATAGGGATACTAAATACATTGTGAGTTGAGAGGAAAACAGTAAATTGGCTTGTTGAGAGGAGAGTGTACTTTATGTATTTAGGCAGCAGGGTAGAAGAGGGATTTCCGATCGATAAATAAGGATGATCCTTCCAGTTTTTTACATAAACAGGGGTATTTATGTAAGTGATGTTCTTGTGATAACAAAAGGCCAACTGCTTTAGGGGAGATTATGTTCTCTAAGTCTCTCCTAAGCACATCAGACACTCTCTTTGCCAATCTCAGTTCTTTCTCTCCTTTTTTATTTTTTCCTTCTTTCTCTTGCTGTTCTGACCTTGTTGCAGCATACTTACAGGGCTCATGCCCATTCTTCTTAATGGACCTTTAAACTTCCAAATAATGGAAAATACTAACATACCATTTACATTTAAACTTCCAAATTACTACTGTGATCATCTACTTTCTACCTGATGGATATTTTAGAGTTTCTCCTTTTATTTTGTTTGCTTTCCTGGGTGCCTGAATGTTAAAACCTAATAATTTAATTCTTACCTACTCAGGTTACATATGACACTAGCGGGTTTTTGGAGAAAAACAGGGATCTGTTACATTTAGATTCTATTCAGCTTCTGTCTTCTTGCACATGCCGACTCCCCCAGATATTTGCTTCCAATATGCTTATTCAATCTGAGAAGCCAGTGGTGGGTCCTTTGTACAAATCAGGGGGAGCAGATTCCCAAAAGCTGAGCGTTGCGACAAAGTTCAAGGTAATATAATTGAAGTTGTTATCTCAAATTCACCCATATTATCACTATAAATATAATTTCAAATATTATAAATATGGTTCTGTTTCTTTCTTTTTTTTTTCTTCCATTTTTTATTGTGTAGTTCAGCAAATATGACAAGATATTAAAGGCGACAAAGGATTAGCCAAATACTATGGCTGTTCAGCAGGCTGTGGAACCAATAATTATTTTCCATGCCAGTAATAAAATACATGGGACCCACACCTCTCACAGTGGGGCCCATGAATTTATTACTGGCATGGAATATTATCATTGGTTCCGCATCCCACTGAACAGCCATCACATTTAGCTAATTCAAATTAATTAAGGGCTGGAAGGCTTTTGACAGAATTCTCCTTATCAGGACAAAGCAGGCAATCTAGAAATGTTGATACCTTTCAGCTGGGACAATGAAAACCTTGCTGGAAAGCACCCTTTCCCATTAACCTATCTATTATTTAATCCCTATTCCCTGTACCAGCAGCTGTTGCAGACAAACTGAAAAAAATCCAAAGGGACTTCCTGTGGAGAGGGTAGAGAGGAAGAGATAAGATACATCTAGTTCAATGGGACCAAGTGTGCAGACTTGAACAAGCAGGGGGTTTTGGTGTAAAGAAGTTGAAGGAGATGAATATTACCCTGATTGCTGAATGGTTTTAGCGGTTAGCATACAGCCACACCTCCTTTGGAGGCAAATTATCCTAGAAAATTTTGGTGCAAGGAAACATCATAATAAATTTCTTTCAGGTAATTATCTGAAGGTGGGAAATGGTCAAAGAGTCAGTTTTTGGAAGGACATGTGGTGTGTGGAAAGGGTTTTGATGAAGAGTTTTCCTTATTTCTGTTGGCTGAAAATAGGAATGCTAGAGTGACTGAAATGAATGTTTCTCAGGATGGAGTGGTGTCATGGCACCTTGCTTTACGAAGAAACCTTGATGACTGGGGAACCGATGAGTTGGTTGCCTACTTAATTTGCTGAATGGGAATATCCCCAGACCAGACCAGGCAGATGCTAGATGCTGGAGCTGGGAAAATTCAGAGAGCTTCACTATAAAATCCTTTTGCAAACAGCTTTGTCCCAGAATTCAAACTTCCCCCCCACAAAGAGGTCTGGTCCTCAGATACCTTCAAAATTAGCTTTTTAATGTGGTCTGTGGTATTTGGACAGATGTCTTACAAGGAAATAACCTCCTTAGAAAAGGATTAAACATTCAATCTGATTCCTGTGTGCTGTGTGAAGCTAGAAGAGAAACCACTTCTCACCTATTCCTGCATTGTCCCTTGGTAAGAGACATTTATATCATTTTTGTAGGCTGTTCGACCTATCCTAGATCCTGCATTTCCCCTCTTTAGTAATAAGAGATAGACCAACTAATTTACCCTTAGATTTGACAATGAAGAGGCATAGCTCCCCCTGTCTACTAAAATAAAAGGAATCAAACTAATAAGAAAATGTAAGCTGGAACATCTGACTACTCTTAGCTAAGCTAATAAACTTTGCAGCTTCAGATTGCCACTATCAATTATGTCACATGGTTAATGAACCTCACATGCACCCTGTTCTGTCTCCACCATTTTGTAAGACTCAGATTGGTTGGATTGTGAAAACTGGGAAACAGTGGTCTTTCCAGGTCCCAGTTAAATGACGGTTTTCATGAGTTGAATGGGCTAGGCACCCAGTTAACCGGAAAAACCATGACCTGTGGAGCATTCTTGTTTTTAGTCCAGTCCAAGTCTTACAACATTGGTCCACACCCCATCCCTATAATGTGTAATATGTAATACCAAAAAAATGTTGTCACATGGTCATGATTGATCTTTCATTTTCATCTAGGGTCAACTTTTTCAACTGATGAAACGGTTGGAGAATACAACACCACACTTCATACGCTGTATCAAGCCCAACAACTTGCAACGCCCTGGAATATATGATCAAGGACTTGTGTTGCAGCAGTTAAGATGTTGTGGAGTCCTAGAGGTGGTTCGAATATCAAGATCTGGTTATCCTACCAGGATGTCTCACCAAAAGTTTGCAAGAAGGTACAGTTACATACATACAATATATACATACACAGACATATAGCTTTAAGATGGAGGTATTCCATAGTTTTGCATCTGTTTTTCAATCGCTTTCCCCTCTCTTGTTATCTGTATTAGGTATGGTTTTCTTCTTTTGGAGAGTGTTGCTTCACAAGATCCACTCAGTGTTTCAGTTGCAATTCTTCACCAGTTCAATATTCTTCCTGAGATGTATCAAGTTGGCTATACAAAGTTGTTTTTCCGAACTGGCCAGGTAGCTTATTGTTCTTTACTAGGGTTTTCTGTATAAATAAATTTTTAATTTGAAGATTCACAGCTTTAGCTTCTCTATCTTGGAGTTTCCTTCCCTGACAGGACCCATGAAAAACTTCACCTTCTTGTGATGAGTTGTTTCTTTCTTCCTTTTCTTTTGTCCCATTTTCTGCAGCTTTTTGTCAGCTTATTTTTAGACTTCCCTGATCTGGAATGAGAATAACCCTAAATTTTCATGTCTCTATAGCAGCTAACTCATGCATAACATCTTTTTTAAGATGGTCTTATAAATTTTGATCGGTGGTTCTATTTTCATACTTTGGAATTCATGTGTTTGGATCACAGAATATCATATTCCTTTTTCTTGTTCACTCTCTAATCCTAACATTGTTTAGTTAAGGACAACTCAATCCATTGTGATCCAGAGCCTATTATACTAGTGATTATTCAACTTTCTTTTGAACTAAAACTCATACTTTCATTAGTTTGATTGGCTTCCCCAAGATTCACATTCCTTCTCCCTATAGAAGCCCTTGTGGCCAGAACTGCAGAAGATGTAAAGACGTAGTGAAGTTTTTCTAATCAGAAAAATTCTGACCAAACATTTTGCAAATATTGCAATCAATAGATTGGTGTGCTCGAGGATACAAGAAATCGTACTCTCCATGGCATTTTACGAGTTCAGAGCTGCTTCAGAGGTCACAAAGCTCGCTGTTATCTCAAGGAGCTTAGGAGAGGAATTGTCATGCTGCAGTCATGTATTGTCTTTTTCAACTTTTATTATTTTGATTAGGTCAATTGAACGGTATAGTAATGGCAAAATGGTGCTTAGGGTTCTCTATTATCATTTGGGCAATTAATATCATCACTATATCCTTGCAGTTGTCCGTGGAGAGAAAACCAGAAAGGAATATGCAGTCTTTGTACAAAATCATAGAGCTGCTGTAGTCATACAAAAACAGATAAAAGGCAGGATTGCTAGGAAAAAATTTATCAATGTTCGTTGTGCATCAATATTGATACAGTCAGGTAAGACTTTAATTTACCTTTTGCCCGAAGATCTCTGACTGGACTTGCCAATTATTCTCAAGTGCATTATGATGGCCAACCATGGCGTTGTATTCTACTGGAACATAAACCATTACTTTATACACATAATGGTCTCAAACCATTATTTCAACCATTATTACTAATTAATAACATTTTAACTTGGTTTTCTTTTTTCAGATCAAATATGTCTCATTTTAATTATAGTTTTGAAATGCATATAGGTTTGTTAAACTCCAAGGGGTGGGATTCAGATTGATCATGTAACGAGATGATGTCTGTTTCAGGATTGAATTAGATAAAGATCACGCCAGCCCAACTCCTGTTAACAACCTAAAGCTGACATGCTTAGTTCAATGTATCAAATTTACTGCCTACCAAGCCACCTGGATATTTTTTTATCAACTTATGAATTAAAAATTGATAAACCATGAATCTTCAATTTAGAATATGGCAATTGCATCGAATGTGGTCAGACTTGGATCAGGCTGGACAGTTGGACCACAAGAACCGGGAACTGGTCAGAATACTCCATTTACTTGTGTTGATGTGTCACCCTCTAATATTTATTGTTTTACTCTTATTTTGATGTAAAAGAGCTTTAAAAGTTAATCAAGAACCATTTCCACTTTTTTTTTTTAAATTTCATGACTTCATTTGAATGGTCAAACTGGACAGTTGAACTGTTTGATCCATGGCCCAGCCACCCAAAATGTTCTCTATCAAGTATGGCAACATTGATTGCATCACTGAATGAGCTGCCTCATATTCATGGTAAACAAGACATAACTAATATTACAAAAAATTGAATATGTCAATCAAGCCTAAAATAGCAGAATAAATTTCTCCACTAAAATCTAAATTAAAAACAAAGCAAGGCTCTTGATATTCAAATCAAATTGCAAACATTGATAGCTTACTTTATCCTCATCCAAGTCATCTTTACCATAGTTGCAACCGGTGGTGCATCTTCTTCATTTTCTGAGATTGATGCAAAAGTATTTCCGTCTTCCGCTTTTTTCTTGAAGGATTTTTTCATTCATCATCTTTAACTAGGTGATGTTTCTCAAATGAGACACTATTACATATGACTTACCCACAATTTTGTATCCACATTGATTCTATTTTCGGGATGAAGTTCCAATGTTCCAGACAATGTTCCAACATTGCATCTTATCCATCAATCATTTTTCAACAAAAATAAGAAAAATTTGACAGAAAGCACCACCACTGTAACATGGGTTGCAATAATTTTTCTGGTGAATAAAAAAAGACAGCACCATTGGCCTCTTTATCATTATTACTTCTAAATGTTGAGTGTTTTCCTTTGATGCCATACAGTGCTGCAAGAATTATGTATCAGGTCCAGCTCCAGAAAAGCAAGACATTTTCTGTTTATTACATGTTTGTGATAGTGTGTTTCAGGGATCATGTCAAGTTCTATTCATGATTCATATTAAACATGTTTTGCAGTTATTCGTGGCTGGCTAGTTAGAAGGTGTTCGGGAGATGTGGGTTTGCTGAACACAACCCAGAAGTTTGAAGGCACAAAGGTATTTCTTGATGCTCATATTTTAATCATCTGCAATATACTGCACTAAATTTTACTTTACTAAATTTTGATTGTTCCATGAATTTCTGAGTCATATCCATGTTTTCTATTTCTAATTCCACTTCAGAAGTGCCATTATATTATCAGTTCATCATCATTATGTGTGTTTGTGCTGTTTTTTAAATGTTCAAGTTGTTTGTTTCAGCATATACATCATGCATGGTACTACTTTTCTGCAAATTGGTTTTTATATAACGCGTAGATGATGCACTATATGTTACTTTGTACATGTCAACCCTTTGACTTTGCCTGAACAATTAAGAGAACTCTGTGCAAGCTCTGAATGGCTTTTAGCTGTATGACCAAGTAATTGGTCAGAAGGAAAATTATTCATTCTCCCTTGGGTAAAAAAGTATGCACTCAAGGTTTTAGAATCAATCTTCCATGTGTTAATAAGCTAGAAATCTCATTTATCAAAAGAAAAAAAAAAGGTAGAAATCTTTATCGACATCTCATCTGGTTTTTGGATCATTTGCTCTCTAATTTTACATTCCTGAGGAACCGTATGGCAAGGTTCTAAATATCGATATGCCCGATACGACGGTAGGGGCATATCGGTACTTTTTTTAATTTTTTTTTCCAAAACCGGTTTAGGGGGGCTGGTTTAAGGCTCCTCCACCCCATGAACTGGTCAGAACCCTGATACACCCCTACACCCTCTGTAGGGGCGTATCGGGATACGTAACAATTTTTTGAACCTTGCCCTATGGGTTAGGTGTAAGAGCCATCCAATTGAGTTGAATGTTGGCCTAAGGCCAGGGTCAGCATGAGACTGCATAAAACCCTGAGCTGATCCTTGAGGTTGGGTATAGGATTTTTTGGGTCCAAGCCAAATTTATCTTGCACTTCATAGGATATTTTGTTGTCATCTAGTCTTTGCTCTATGCCTTCTTTTGCACGTTTTAGTGTTTTTCACATTCATGATTCTAAGCTAGCTCAAATTCCTTAGCAGGGCTCTGAACCAGAGCAGATACTTGTCAAGGCATCAGTCCTTGCAGAGTTACAACGCAGAGTTCTGAAGGCAGAGGCTGCTTTTCGTGAAAAAGAAGAGGAAAATGACATTCTCCATCAGCGGCTCCAGCAGTATGAGAGCAGGTGGTCTGAGTATGAGCTCAAAATGAAATCCATGGAAGAGGTGTGGCAAAAGCAGATGAGATCCCTACAATCCAGCCTGTCCGTTGCAAGGAAGAGCCTTGCAGTTGATGATACTGAGAGAAGTTCTGGTTCGTCAGTCACTGTGGCTCATGACAGAGCATACAGCTGGGATCTCGGAAGCAACAGTAACAAGGGCAGGGAGAACAGTGGGTTGAGACTTGGGTCCCGATTCTTGGAAAGAGAGATGAGTGCAGGTCTGAGTGTAATAAGCCGATTGGCAGAAGAATTTGAACAACGAAGCCAGGTATTTGGTGATGATGCTAAGTTTTTGGTGGAGGTGAAATCAGGGCAGGCTGAGGCAAGTTTAAATCCAGACCAGGAACTGAGAAGGCTGAAGCAGATATTTGAAGCTTGGAAGAAGGATTATGGGGCAAGATTGCGGGAGACAAAGGTGATCCTGCACAAACTTGGAAGTGAGGAAGGAAACAACGAGAAGGCTAAGAAGAAATGGTGGGGAAGGAGGAACAGCTCGAGGATAATGTAGTTCATAACCTTGCTTTATTGCTATCTTTATTTAATTGTTCGTTCAGCTTTTGTTTTTTTGTTGTTGCAATCTAGCCAATTTGTTTATGTTTAGAGTTGGCTGGAAAAAAAAAAGTATTTTTAGTATTGCTGCTTCAACTGAAATTAGAAGAAGGTTTCAGTGCTTCTCATTTTTCAGTTTTCGGTAGATCTAAATATGTACATGTCCCATCAAAGTGCTACATTTTGGAAGAAATATGGAATAGAAAATTTTGAGTTGATAGAATTGTGTTCTTTCCTTTTTTTTTTCATTTAATCCTTTCATAATCATCTGAAATGGAAAATAATCTGCAAACCTTTAACTATCATCCATACCAATCATAATATAATCATGCAACTGCTAGTGACAAGGATCAGAATTATTGCAATGTATCGGAGTGTATAAGCGGATTCGTATCGTATCGGTGATCCTTATATGCCCCTACCATACTTTAGTGCAAGGTTCAAATATTGATACGTATCAGCCGTATTGTGCTGATGGCTTTACCGATACACCCCACCAGGGGTTGTATCCAAGGTTTAAAGTATCAAAAACGTCAAGTGTATCGGAAAGGCAATTTTAAGAGATGTATCGATATACGTCTTGGATATGCATGTGTATCGGAGAAAAACTAAAATACGCATAGATACGTTTTGAAACATTATAAATACTTTAATAAATCATAAAAATACATAACAACACTAAATATAAGACCTAAATAAGGTGTATATACATTAAATTAATATATTTTAATGGTTTTATGAAGAAATATATTGTAGTTAATTATAATTTCATTAAAAATCCTATATTTAACTATAATTTATAAATTATTATTCTTAAGTTTTAATGTTTAATGGGATGGAAAAAAACCAACTCTCTTATCCAACCATAAAATATGTATTAACACAACTTCTAAGCGAAAATATACTTAATAATTATTTATTATTTAAATAATTATTAGTTATTATTTATTTTCAAAAAATATAAAAAATAAATAAACATTACATAATATATTCAAAAAATATTTATTAAAGAAGAAATTTCAATTGCTTTGTGGAATATATAATAGATGATCCATAGAATTATAATATATTCAATCATTGTGATCAAATGATAAAATATAATTGGTTAATTATTTATTTTTTAATTCTATAAATATAAAAATAAAAAATATTAAAGAAGAAATTTCAATTGGTGTGATCAAACGATAAAATATAATTAATTATTATTTATTTTTATTCTAAAAATATAAAAAATCAAAAAAGAATATTAAAGAAGAAATTTCAATTGCTCTATGGATATGAAAGATAAATCTATAGATCTAAAACATATTTAGTCTTTTATAAGCAGAGAAAAAATTATATTTTCAAATTTTTTGTTAATTTATATTTTCCCCAAATATCTCATGAAATTTCCATAAATCTATAGATAACACAAAAAAAATGTGATTTTGGATGTAAGAAATGTAGATTAACATAAATTTATACATTCAAGAAAAAAGAAATCATGAGATATTATAAAAAAATTGAAAAACAATACCTACTTTTTACCATATTTTTTCAAAATTTGAAAAATCTTCAAAAAAAATAATGATTAATACTTGTTTCTTACAAAATTTTGCAAATCTAGCACTCTAGGAATAAGGAGGTTTGGAGTTTTAGAGTCATTTCGGGGGTGAAAGAATCTTACTTTTCCCCTTTATTTTTTTTTCAGTTTTTGGTCGTATCTTTTTCGTCAATACGCTATCGATACACCTGATACACCTCCGATATGCCCCAATGCGCCCCTGATGCGGGTCCAATATGCATGAAAAAAGATGATACACACGATTTCCATGCGTATCATGTATCTGTTTTTAAAAGATACAATACGATATGCCCCATATTGGGCGTATCATATCGAAATTTTAAACATTGGTTGTATCATGTCAGACACTGGTTCAGAGGGTAGCTGGGCCTTAAACTGACCTTTTTGAACCTATATCAAATAAATAAAACCTAAAAAAAGTACTAATACCTGGTCGATACTTTGAACTTTGGTTTAGTGTTTTGGGATTCCACCCATTTGACATTCTTATTGTATCACTCTATTTCAATTTTTATTATTTTTTTTGAAAAAATTATTAATTTATTACTTTTACAATAACTCTTTTTAAAATAATAAATATGTGTTTTATTTTTAACATCTAACCATGTTTCAAAGTACTAATATATATATAACCATGGTTAAAAGTGGGTTCCTAAAATCACCTATAACCAATTATAACAAGGATCAAAAGATATGATATGATAAGCTTAACATGGGGTGTATTGTATTGAAATTTGAAGGAAAGGGAGATCCATCAAATGGATGGCCGAACCATCCAGGGTAGCTGGGCAAAATTTCAAAAATTCCTTTCTCTCTTTTGGGAATCCTATTCCCAGTTTTAGAAAACTTCATTTTTCAAGGATCTTTCTTAAAACAAACAAGACCAAATTTGAAACCAAGATTAGGGAGAGGAATATCTGATACCGAATCCACACAAGAAGCTCCTCCCGACGTAGGTATTCACGCCCAAAAGGGTACCAAATCCCGTCTCCACTGAAAATGACACAGCTTAGGATGAAGCAGGATCATCAAAGAGGTTCTTCAATAAGAACCACAATCTTTCAACAAGGATCACGCAAGAATGTGAGCATGAATTCATATCTAACTCTTCTAGCAAGAATCAGAATCACGAACAATTCTTGATCAGTCCAAGATAGTGGAAATCGAATTGGGTAAGGCAGTAATAGCAGATAGAAAACTACAGAAAGAATTATTTCATAAAGAAGAATTCGCCCTCCTATTTATAACCATCTTTGGATTAGTTTCCTAATCCAATTAAGAAAGAGTTCATTGATCCAAATCTTTATTTGGATCTAGACTCTTAAATGGATAAAACTTATCTTATCCTTTAGCTAATTCTAATATGATTATAAAGTAGAATTCACTCCATTTTTAATTAACTAACTTAAGCCCAATTCGAAATGGGCTTTAGGCCCGTTTAGTCACATAACTCACATTCCCTTTAAATGTTGGATAGTTTGGTTTTCTTTATATAGCGTGAGACCCTAGCATTGATCTCCACAAAAGCCATATATGGGTTCAGCCTAGCCTCTGTTACAAGGCCTGGCCGAATTCACTGCCAAAGATAGTGAACCCCTGAATCCATCAACATGGGCTCTTAACAGGCCCAACGTTTACACTAAATGGTCCATGGGTCCAGCCACCTTATGAAGGCCCAAGGACTATAGACTTATGTGAGATTAGCCCATCACGTTCATCATCCCTAAATGGTCTTACACTTAACTTCTCAGCCCTTAATGATCAAACACTATTTGACAAGAGAGGACCTCTCCCTCGACTGCAAGGTACAGTGTTGTACTCTCTACTCACATGAATCTCGGGAATTAAAACATTTTGCAAACACTTTGTGAAACTATAATATATATGTATATCTATATAAATATATTTTGCAAAACAAATTTCAACAAGTTTGAAATTAACTACCGGCAGTTTAGGTTTCCATCAGAGAGTGCACTCCCCGATCATTCACTTTGTCTGACAAAGGGGCTGATTCTATCACTATAATCACCCACTCAGATGAATTCTCAGACTACCCCAACATACCTAGGTTTTGACCCCTTCTAAGGATCTCACTGATTGGCATATCAAAGGCAGCCTAATTCGACACCTAATGCAGTACCATAATCGAGTCTAGGGGTCAGGTGTAACTTTTCAGTTTTGCCAATTTGTCTCCAAGGTCAAGGGCATCATTGGAATTTGGTTTGGTTCTAGAGTTCCAAATAAATCCACACTGCATGTGCTTAATGTCTCACCTTGGCAGTTGAGACAAGCCACACCCCAACCCACTTGGCAGCACATCAGTGTCAACCTTGGTAGAATAAATCTCCCCAGATCTATCTAACGGCTATAAAGATTCTAAACTAACACAAGTCTCATAAGTGTCCAGTTTAAGGGGTATTACACAGAAATACACCAATATAACATGAATCAAATATGTACTTTATTCATTTATAATAAATGTCAAAAGGTTCATCAATCTGGTTGGAGCTAAGGGCATATACCGTATAACAAAATTTTGATCATTGTGTATAATTATGTGTAAAATAAAATATGTAAATCATTTATTTAAGGTAGATAAAATGTATTAACTTTTAAAATGTTTAGTTTTTATTAAAGCTTTTTCAAAAATTAAATTCTGAATTATTTATTCCAGTTTTATAATTATAATTATAATTTTTATTTTTTATTAAAGATGGAAAACAGTATAAAACTAGGCATAGAAACGCTTCTATATCGGTGTGTACCCAATTGTGACATCCCATATCCATCACTATCACTAGGAATATGATACACTCCGTATCGGAAAATATTGTATTATTACTTTAAACCTTATTTCCAATTGTAGAGGTTTAGGCGATATGAGGGATAGTGTAAGGAGTTGGGAGTTAGTCCTCACACCGTATTCACGACATTTGCAACCGTGCAATGGAAACATCTCTGTACTCGACTTCATATATGGGAGGAATTCTCAATTCACACATGCGACCAACCGATGCTCTCAATACAATACAAGGTTGGAAGGATTGCGAGGAGGGTGTGGAGGAAATTTATGAGTACTATATTTAGATTCTAATGCTAGTCGGAAATTGGGAATCCGTTGAGCCTTGCTAGCCACTGGGAAAGGAAAACCATTCTAAATTTTGAAATACTCCTCTCTCAGCACATTGGACTCCAAAATGAACGAATCTCCACACCACGTAAGCTCCACTCTTCCTTTCTTCTTCTCTCCCATTATTTTGAATCTGCATAAATCACTCAATCCTCTCTCTTAAAATACTTTTATGGTTTAGGAAATTGACTAATTTTATCCTTCGTCTCTTATTATTTACATATATTTTTAAAATTTTTGACAACTGCTTAAAACCTCCCTTATCGTCGCATCTCTGATATGTTTTTTAAATTACTAAAACATCAACTTTTTGTTAAATTCCTAAAACCCATTTGTAAGTCTACCCTATCTCCCTCTCATCAATGCACATTTCAATCTACTGGTTCAGATGTCATGCCAACACTCTTTGGTCAATTATTCTCATCCTATAGAGCTCACTTCAATCCCATAAGTGCCGAGGATTTCATGGCATATCAAGAAATACTCCTGATAATATATAATATATTATATATTTTTAAAATTTGGTTTTAATTGAAATAATCATTTTTTTTTTTTTATAAATCGGTTTTAATTTTTAATTTGGTTTTTAAAATTTTGATTAATTTAATTCGATTTTTATCGAATAAACCGAACACTCACCCTTAACTGGCATTGTGCTCAAAGTTCAAATTTTTATGGTATTTTTTTAGTTCTTCTTTAAAACTAATTCAGAGAGATTAGTTTAAGGCCGATTTACCCTTTGACCAAACCCCGAAACACTCTAGGACGTATCGCTAATGTTCGAGTGGCGAATGAGACACCAATTTTGTCAGTAGCTGAATTACAACAGAGATGTCATCAATCGGGTTCGGGTTTATGTTGAAAATTTAAGAAATCGTAAAGGGCAAATTTAACATTTCATTTTTTCCGTTGATACTCACTGATCATGTTAATTATCAATAAAATTTGAGGGTAAGGTAGAGTTTAGTCAGTTTCGAGATACTTTTAAGAAATTTTTTCTTTCTTATTATGGTTTTTTTTTTTTTCTTGTGTATTTAAATCCTTTCTAATTTCTACCGAAAAAAATGAAGCCCAACCGCTGGCTGTGGCTGTGGCTGTGGCTGCTTCTCTCTCCTTAACACGTGCAACTCGAGAGTAATGCTAAATAACACATGTTTTAAAATTTAAAGGTGCAGTGCACGCTAGACGGTCAGATCAGAACTTGGGAAAAAAGAGAATGACATCCGGATCTGCTCCTCCTGCCTGGCGCCTCGCAGAATCCTCACAAAATAATGTGAATTCGTGTACACGACTCACACGAGTGGCGGGGAGCCTAACAGTCGTTAGTCTCCATTCCGTTAGACCACGCTCCCACCCCCCAGCCCCAGTATTGTCCCCCTGCCTCTCCTGTTTTCTCCGGCAATGAAAGTATAAAACCCTAGTCCCAAGCGCCATCCACCGGTTGCCGGTTGCAGTGCTTTTCTCGGCGGCCGGCGATTTTACCGACGACAATATAAAGGTTCCCTGCGATCATCGGCGAAACGGGACTCCGGCAACTCTTCACCAAGGACCCAAACCCTCTTTTCTCTTCTTGTTAGGATCCAAACCTTTTCATCTCTCTAGCGGGGATTAATCTCATCGGCGAGAATAGACAGGGCAACTCGATTCCGGCGATTTAAACGCAGGTAAATCTTTGCTGAAGAATCTCATGTCGTCGAATGAATATGGTATTTTCTAGTTCGAACTGGAGCATACAGAGACCTCTTTATTTTTCTACAGAGACCAGCAACTTTTTAGAATTTGTTGTATAGTTTTTCCCTTTGTTTGTTTGCTGAATAAGTCGTTCTTAATTTGTCATATCCCACTAGTTGAGCAAAAAGATTACCATTCGAATGCAACTGAACTGATAATGGTCACGGTGCTAGCAGATTAATTTGGGTTCTTCGTGAAAAGGAACAGGGATGAGAGTTTAGGCAGGAAAAGAAAAATTAGCAGAATTATCAGTCTCATTTCGTTGGTGATCGCAGGGAGACTTCGTATAATTGCCGTGAAATCACTGTCCGCCGGAGAAAGCATTACAACCGGTGGAGGGCACTAGGTTTAGCAGGGGCTTAGCGGAAAGAACAGAAAATTAGAAATAAAAATTGCGCGGGGGGGGATACTCGGTGAGGAGGTGGGGGGCGGGCTAACGAAATGGAAACTAACGGCTGAAAATGGATTGAAATCACTAGGGCTTACTCATAAAATAAAAAATAAAAAAAAAAACGCTTTTGGGTCTTTGATCGCGGGTGAAAGTGGAGGGGAGGAAGAAGCTTCAATGGTGGTTATAGGCGAGCAAAAAAAAAAATCGACAATCAGAGGAGACTGGCTTCAGGTATCTCTCCTCCCCTTTTTTCTTCTTTTCTTCAATGCTCAGTCCATGCCCCCACACCATTTGAGACTCCTTTTAGCAAAACAGTATTATCATGTTGGTTATCTTTGCAGTTGCTTTCAGTGGGATGAGTCCTCTTCACGTTTGCTTAAACCAGGGGCCTGGGTTTCCAAATTCCAATAGCTATATCTGAAAAAAATCTGGGAGTAAAAAAATGTTTATTAAAGAATCGTGCTTGTTGGTTGGACTGTCAGAACTATTGACAGACAGGTGTTTTCTAATGCCACTATAGCTCTGCAAGTTGGCAATGGCATGGATTAACCCTAGTAAATCCCTTATATCAACATCTGGCTTAAGAGATTTATCTAGTAAATGGTGGATTACTGCCCTTTCAAAATTGTCTGATTCATGGACTCTTTGACCAGCCTTGTCCAAGATTTCTCCTTTTCAGCCGTTTGAATCTAACAAAATTTGGGACTAGCTTCTTCTTTTTTACTGTTTTCTAGTTTTTCGTTATATGGAGTTATGGACATAGAACTCCCACACTCTAAGTTAATGTGGTGATTGTGTTTTCCAACTAGGACCTTCAGACTTTTCAAACAAGGTCTTCTCAACCCAAGTAGAAACTTTAAGACCTTATATTTTGCTCTACAATGCTGGCGACCTACTTTATCCATTGTCTCAATATTCCCCCTGATCTCCGAATTTAGGTTCACAAATCACAAGAAGTAAAACTCCAAAGATTTCTTTGTTGAAGATGGAGTGCTGGTGCGTCTCTTAGGCCTTCCCTTTAACTTGTGGAAGCAGGAAGTTGCTGAAGCCATTGCTTTGATGTGTGGAGGATCTTTAGGAGGTGCCTTTTGGGGAGACCTTTGTTCAGCTTCTATTTTATTGAATGGTGTAAAACCTGAGGAGATTCCTCGAAAGATTGAGGTGCTAGTTGAAAGGCTTTGCTATTCAGTGTGGTTGGCTTCATCCTTTGAATCGGTGCTCTGGAAGGAGGCTCGTAGGGAGGGAGATGAGAAGGTTGAAGAAGTATTGCGTGGCAAGAAGGGATTGGTTGATTCAAACAAGAAAAGAACTTTCACAAAAATGGAAAAACCAAGACTGGAGAAACAAAAGAGTAGCATTCAGGGGGTGGGTTTTATGCGTGTGGGAGCAGTGAACAGTCTGGAGGGTGGCAGGTCCTTTGCATAGGTTGTAACCGGCGCCAACCTGACCTGTTTGAACAAGGAAAAGGAGCCGGTCCAAGGAAGAACTGGATCTAGACCGGATAAAACCAATCCGAGCCTGGGGTCGGATGCGTGTGACTCTTTTTAAAAGTCACATGAGGTCGCAGTGGCTTAAAAATGAGCCAAAGCCAAAGCCCATTCGAAACGTCTTGGGTGCGATTAAAGGCCCATTTGGGTCAGCGGGCCCGATCCAATGTTTTAAGAAGGCGCGTGAACCTTTAGTAACTCACGTGACTGGGGACACGACTAAGATAGACGATGCTAATGGTCTATCATCGTTCCCAGTCGCGAGACAGGGGGGAACGCGCGCAACGCTGGAAAACAGAGAAGAAGCTCAACTTGCAGTGGGTTTCCCGGCGAAGGCTGAAGGAGTTTAGCCCCCTGCGGCACTCCTTGGAGAAGCCGAAGCCAAGTTACGTTAAGGGAAGACCTGAAGAGAAGGAAGATAAGGATGAAGGTTGGGCGCAGTGCAGTGAAGGTGGAGACTCAGAGGACTGCTCGGTTGATGGTACTAGCGTGGGCAGTGCAAACGACGAAGGCAGCTGCGTTGGAGGTGACATGGATGGGTGGAATATTGTAAGTTTATTTCAGGGTGACGACGATGGTAAGCGGTACAACCCGTTCCCAAGACCATAGAGTGTGCAAGGAGGATCAGAAGGGGCAGACCGGGAGAATTGTAATTAGAGCAGGAACACATCATCAAGGGGTGAGCCAGGGGTAGAGTGGAAAGATCACCAGAGTGACTAAAGGACAGAAGTACTTCCCGACCAACTCAGGGAGATAAATATTTACCAACCTCTAGAACAAGAGAGGGAGGCAAGGAGCAGTCCTTTTCCAGCTTGTCCATCAGTCCCAGGTAACCAAGTGATTTTGGTTTGTGCTACTAATGTGTCTCCAGTGTCTTTGGTTCCAGATTCCATTCCTGCTCCATGTCCTGTAGCCCATGAATATGTAGCCGAGCCAGCAGACGGGCTCTCCGAGGAGGGAGAGACCGGAAGGAAGGAAGGTGGGAGGGTGCCGGAAGGAAGGTTTAGGAGTGAAAAAGTATGGGAAATTATTGAAAGAGTGCTTAAGGAAGTGGAAGGAGAGCTGATCTGGAGAGGGGAAGGGGAGGTAGGAAGAGGGGAGGGGTTAGTGGAGAGGAGGGAAAGGAATGAGGGTAGAGTTGGAGAGGGCTACGGGGAGAGAGCAGGGTTAGAGGGAGGTATTAGGAAAGGGAGGGTGGATGGAGAAGAAATAATAGAGGTGGGACTAGAGGAGAGGAAGAAGGGGCAGGTGGATAGAGATGGAGGGGATTCTGTAGGAAGGGTAGGGCTGGTGGACTCGGTGAGAGAAGACATGATAGCAGAATTTGTAGGGAAGCTAGGTTGCAGGTTGAAAGATCTGAATGTGCTGAAAGAAAACTTACAGAAGAGGAAGGAGAAGATCAAAATAAAGAAGAGGAGATTGAGTGAAGTAGAGAGA